CGTGCTGAAGGATCATGAAGGTGGCCGTGGCCTCATCTCTGATTCAGTCAACGGAGGGTCAAAGAAAGGAGCGCCAAGGCTCCCCGTAACTGCTGAAGTTAAGTACATGTAATGCTTACAGGAGACAAGATAGACACAACCTCTACTCTGAAACGCAGAATATTAAATACAACTCCACCTATATAAATTAACTGTACAAGCTTATCCATCACGCACAAAAATCCCAGCAACCAACATTAGTAAGCAGTTTGGGATCAAAATCCAAAGCAAAAAAGGACACGAACACCCATGTAATATGATGTTTTAAATGTGGTTAAGGGGATGCGACTGCCCTGAGTCCTGGGCATCTGACCACAGCGGGAGCTGCCCTCGGCCCCAGGCTCCTGCCTTGCCCGTGGGAGCCGGTCAGAGGGCAGCTCCATGCGTAACTGTCCTTTCCCGGGCTGGGTACCCCGTGGCCGGCTGGCTGGTCCTCAGGGTGCATTGGTGCCCCTCCCAGGAGTAGCCGTAGGGGGTCTAGAAGTTGAGCAGCTCTGGAGAAGGGACCCTGGGGAGGCAGTATATGGTTCCCTGGCTCCTTCAATGAAAAGGAAAAGTATTTGTTAAAGAGGAAAAGGTTTGCCTGGCCTGACGCTTTGTCCCCCCAGCCCCGGAGCAGCCAGCATGGGTCGGGGAAGATGCACAGTGGTCAGAGTCCAGTGAGCAGAGAACCCGCCGTCAAGCAGCCTTAAGCATGTTTCTTATTCCAGGAGCGTCTGCTTTTTGTTTGAAATCCTGACTGCTCGGTTCTGGCCGAGGCCCGAGTTATTCTGACGTGCCTTGGGTGCAGGAACACCCTCTGCACAGCAGCGGGCGGCTTTCCCCCGCACATGTCCTGGGACCAGTACCATTAAGCTGCGTCCTCTCCCCTCGAACCCAGAAGGGACCTGACAGGGGTACCGGGCCCTAACTCCACTCCACCTTCCCCCTTGCCTGGCGGCCCTTCCACCTGCTAGAATATAGGGACTGGGCCTCTGCAGTCTTGTCGGGCTGCTGTGGGCCCCAGCCTGTGGAGTTCAGTCCCTTCTGTGTGCGGGGTCCTGGGTGTAAATTCCAGCCAGCTGTAGCCGACCCAGACTCGAACCTCCCGTATCGTTTGTCAGCATACAACATACTCTTAGTTTCTTTCGTCTGAAGAACCTGCACAGCCTCTCCACTCCTGCCTCTCCCTGAATCCAGGAGCAGAACTCTAACTGCCCATTTCGTACATCCTCCTGCACGGCATCTCCAACTCAACAGGCCCAGAAATAAACCGGCCTTGCCCACAAAACCCGCCCCGCCTGTAGCCTCCCTGATCTCAGTTGCTGGCAGCGATGCCCTCTCATTACTCAGGCAAACCCCTGCAGGCCTCAAGTCCTCGCTCTACCGGGCAGCCGACACACCGCGCATCAGTGAGCCCCATCGCTCCACAAACAGTCGCTGGATTCCTGCCTGAGCGCACCGGTCTCCCTGCCTCCACCACGTCCCCTGTATTCATGTCTCTACGTGGAGGCCAGCGATCCTTTAGAAACAAGTCACTCTTCTGTTCCAGACCTTCGCCTGCCCCATCTCAGGAAAACCCCGGTGCTGGCCCTGCACGCCTCCCGCCGCCGCCCTCCACCTCTGCCGGCGCTCCCCCATCACTCTGTCCGCCCACACACATTATCAGACGCAGGTTCCTGCCGGGGGTCTTTGCCAGTCCCTCTGCCTGGGTGTCCTTCCTGTCCCCAGAGGGGCGAGGAGGGGAGCTCAGAAAGGCTGCGCTGCCTCCCGGCTTGAATCACGGCACCGCCTCTCCCCACCCCACATTGCTCCCCGTCCCTTCCCACGCCTGCAGTCCTAACACGCTGCATTTCTCTCCTCTTCCAGCTGGTTATGTTCTCTCTCTCTCCCACCAGAACGGAAGTTCTAAGCGAACAGGGATTGTGTGTCTTCTGTTTATCACTGTGTCCCCAGCCCCTAAGGCAGGACTTGCCCCTGGCAGGGGCCCTCTAGCTACTGGGCGAATGAATGAACCCTGGGCTCTGCCCGCTGGGCTTAAACTGCTGCCACCAATCCTACTGCTTGTTCTCAAACGGCCCAGACCTGCCGCCCGCTGAGAGGACTGCCCGTGTACCCCAGATCGGGACTCTGGGCAGCCTTCCGGGGCCCTCGGGTCGACCTGCTCCCTGTGAGGCAGGGCCTGGGCTCCGACATCTGAGCGCCTGGGGGACCGTTCCCTCCTCCACTCACTCTAAGTGGGACCTCAGGCAGGTGGCTTGTCCACTCTGAGCCTTGGGGGCGCCAAGAGATGGTGTGTGTGAGCGCTTGCCACCATTTCCTCCCGATCCCACCCCATCCCTGAGTCCAGCTGGTCCTGCTTTCTGTGCAGTGCCTTGTGCGTGTTGTCTAAGACACAGGTCCCAGTAGCTCCAGGTTGCAAGCAAGGAAATGGGTAGAGGGAGGTTAAGTCTCTCGCCCAAGTTTGCAGAGGCCCACTCAGAGCCCACCTTCTCACCCCATGACTCACCAGCCTGCCCTGCCAGACACCCGCTGGGCCTGAGACTTGGTATCCGCCGTGGATCTGTCACCTCCCCACACCAGCCACAGGAGCGGGGGGTGGGCAGGGACTGCTCGGGAGGCCCAGCACCCAGGGCGGCGTCCCAGCGCCCGGAGGAGCCACCCTGTTTCAGCATCCATGGGTGCTGCCCCAGGGTCCCTGCTGTGGCTCCTCCAGCCCCAGCTCTCTGCTTCTCCCTTGGAGTGCAGCCCCTTAGGCCTGTGCGGCGCCCCCCGCCCTGGACCGTACCTTCCTCCAGGGCTTCTCTAGGCTTTGGTGGCTGCCACGTCCCCGTTCACGTAATCGGGCTCCCCATCGTCCTCGTCTGGGCTTCCCACCGGGTAGGGAGGCGCTTCCCTCGGGACTGGCTCTGCGACCCGCGGGCAGATGGTCAGAGGGTTCACACGCACATGCCCAGCCCTGTTCCCGCCACCACACAGCCCGCAGGAAAGGCTACACTGGATGGTGTGTCTGTCCCGTCCTCTCTGGGATTTGCCAGAGGTGTCCTGCTCCTGCCCAGGAGCAGGGCGAGTGCGATGCCGTCCGTGCAGCTGGATGGGCAGCCAGCCAGGAGGACCCAACCTCAGGAGGCCATGGCGTTGCTGACGGGGGTCCTGGCACAGTGCGAGCCTCTGCAGCCGCTGATGTGCCAGAAGCTTCGCTGTGGAATCAGCTGGACTGGCCGTAGGGGAGCCCACCCGGCCTTGCCCTCCCAGGCCAGATCCCCTAAGCTCCCCTCTCTCCCTCTCCCCTCGACTGTCTGTCCCAGGCCTGGCCCCTCTGAGCCTGCTGAAGGTGACCATTTGGAAGCACCGGGGCTCCGGCCACATACCCACGACTCTCCTGGACTCCCGCCACTGCTGGATGGATGCTGAGTTCTGATAACCCTCAGACTCCTCGTCCCCTGCAGGGAGAACGCCGGGAGAGGGGCTGGCAGAGGGGCAGCCGCCATGGCCAGTCCTTAGGCCAGAGAGGTGCCACATCCACCCCTCCAGAGGGGCAGCCTGTGTTCTCGTGCTGGGCAGGCCCCTCGAGGGAGGGAGGGAGAGCCCAGGACTGATGGGGACTCCTCCCGGGACACAGGGTCTGATACTGGTGAACCGTGCAGTGGGGACTTCAGAGCTCAGCGGGGCAGGCGGGCCTGGCCTAGGAGGCCTGCCTCCCTGCCCTGCTCTGGGGAGGGCAGCCTCACCTGATTCAGTTTTCTTTGGCTCACAGATGAGCACGTTCTCATAGGAATTGGTGTCATCATCATCTGCCAGGGAGAGAGGAGAGGGCATAGGATGCTGGTGGGCCCTGCCCGACAGGCCTGGCCCTTCCTCTCTCCCTCTGTCTCATCAAGCCCCCAGCCCTCTGGGTCCCCCGGGGCCTCGAACATTCTCCTGGACAAGCTTCTTAATGGGCGCTGGCCTGGCTCCAGCAGCCTCCACCCTGGGCTCCTTCTCTGTCTTCCCCTGAATGCCCTGGGGAGGGGAGATTAGGGGATGGGGGGGTGCAATCAGGCCCACGAGGGACAGTTGAAGAAGGGAGGCCCATCTCTATGGGGCAAAGAGGGGCAGGGAGAGCCGCTGGGGGCCCAGGAGACAGGAACCTGCCTAACCCTTCAGGCAATGGGGTGGGCTGAGGATCCTTTGTCCGGGGGCCTAGGCTGGTTGTGGCATATCAGAGCCTGGTACCCCGGTATTCCCCCCTACCCCCAACGGGGAAGCTGAGCTCTAAACGCCACCCCACCCTGCGTCCATCTGTGTCGAAGAGGCTCTGAGAAGTGAGGGCCTCTCCCCAATTTAGAAACGCAGCGGGGAGAAAAGGACCCCCCCACCTCACCCCAGCTCGGCCCAGGCAGGAGCCCAGCCCTGTGCACCTCTCAGCAGGCACTGCCCACCCTCAGTTCTCAGTTTCTGTAGAGCAAAGGTGTTAGGAGCACCTTTGCTCTCAACAAAGGGTGCCAGCATCCTCGGAGCCTGCAGGGCTCAGCGTTTGTCAACAAGGCTGACCGGTCCAGGGCCTTCCTTCAAGGTCCCCTGTGTGCCCAGCCTTGAGAGGGGCCTGGATGACAAGGGGACCAGCCTGCCCCCTGCCCCTGCCCTCAGCTCCCCTTCTGGGCCCCCTACCCCCTCTTCCCGCCCATCCCTTCCCTTCTCTGCACCTCGGCTCCTGCGCACAGGGCCAGCCTCCCCCAGGGACCCCCCCCCCCCCCCCCCCCCCCCCCCCCCCCCC